CGCTGTCGGATGAATCGAGGAAGAGGTTTGCTGTGATTGAGAGGTTGACTGATTTGCCGTAAGTCTTTTTTTCTCCGAAGCGCTGTAAGCAGTGGGAATAGAATAGGGAGATGTCGGTGGAGACAGTTGCTGTTCTACTGTTTGCTGGAGTATTATAGATGAACCTTGAGAGATGAATATTAGATGCGCAATCACAATACTACATTCTTGTATTCTTTCGGATGATGTTCCAGTTGAAAAGGTCATTTGTCCTCGTCATTGTATTTGCAGGTCTTCAGAAAATACGTGGAAAGGTAATTTTGTATAGGGACGCAATATTGTGAACTAGAAAAAGAAGCGTTCGGTGGGAAAACGCAGATTCCTCCTACATTATTGCCGGTCGACTGCGAGATCTAACTACATCTTTAAAACTCCACGGCCCCCCAGAATCATCAAAAGACTTTCTCTCTTGGCTGGCCTCTAGTAGCCTGGCCTGGCCTGGCCTGAGGATTGTGTGAAGATAGGGGGATATCGAGGCTCAAGTAGAATTTCAATCTGCATAGAAAGTCCATCACGGCAAGTCGTGGAAAAAAAAACCCCCCCATATGGGCAGCTGTAACAAACACCATTTCAAACCGAGGGACGGGTGAATGAACGGGAGATTAACACCAAACAAATCCTGGCTCGGTGCCTCCGCCGATGAACGGGGGGAAGGGGAGCTGAGAACCAAGCTTATCTAGTGCTGACAATTCCCCCAGCCATCGAGATTATGGCATTTCTTCGGTCCCTTCTTCCTCTTTCTTAGTTCCCCGTTCAGTTGGCGGCCCCCAGGCGTTCGTCTCGTCTCGTCTCGTTTCGTTCGTTCGTTGGGTAAAGTTTCCTCAGTGTCGGAACCGCAAGCCAGCAAGCATTTCACGTTCTAGATCTCGATTTCGGAGTATTCTTTTACCGCGAGTCAGATATGTGATAGGTATACCACATGTTTTCGTGCGAGTTAAAGTTTCCTAGACGCCGGAAATAGCAATATTGGATGCGCCCAGGTTATCCGTTTCACAATCTTGTCTGTTGGGAATATTTGTGGTATTGCAGAATTACGATTAAAGCAGCGAGAATGCGTGGGTTACGTAGAAGTGGCGTGATGGAGAACGTTCGTTTGTCGTGCTGTCTCTTGACAATATTGCGCGAGATTGCGTTACTTGGTCAACCGTTGACGTATACGTTGGGTGTTGGCCACATGTCTATACGCTATCTTGGTACGCAAACATTTGACTCGAAGAGACTTGGATTTGATCTCGGTTTTCGTAGTAGTCGTTACGTTCGCCCCGGATTTGTCCTTCTTTTTCATCATACTGTCAAAAACCAAACGAGAATCGCGTACTGAACCGTCTCGTTTCGTGTCAATCTGGGGGTGATGTTGGTTTCGGTCCGCAGAAAAGGGGGTCTTGTCCGTATGGCCCCAAAGTCGACACCATCTCAGCACTCTCATCGCCATCTTCATGCCCATTCATCTCCCTCGTCCTTTTTTCCCCCAAACTAAACAGCATCACCAGCGACCCTCTGAACCCAGACCGCTGTCTCTTCAACCCGACTCAAAAACGGACTATGTCCACTCTTCAGCCTCGTGACCTCGATCTCTCCAGCCGCCTCTTTCACCCCATTAACCATGCCCTCCTGAACCTGCGGCGGAACACACTCATCGTCTTCGCATAGCAGGTAGCTAGTCGGTATATCCTTCCAAGCCGCACCTGTAGCAGGCGCATAGAACGAAGCTACAGCCTGTGACTTGATTTGCTCGAACCAGTGTTGTCTCTCGTCCTCGGGCAGGTCACCATAGAAGATCTTTGCAACTTTTGCATAAACATATGGCTCCTGAACGTCCACCCACTCGGGAATAAAGTGGTGAATGGCATCCTGCAAACAGATCCCCTCGTCCAAAATATACGCTGCCATATACCCCGTTCTCACCACTCCACCGCTTAGTCCTTGTGCTTCCCGCTCTTTCTTGCCTAGCCCGACTAAAGCACACCCGGTGATGATACCACCCCAACTGTGTGCTAGGACGACGACGTCATTTCCTGCATCACCAATGGCATTGAGTACGAGTGCGCGTACAATGGCGATGTCTTCTGTGAGGTCGGCTGGGGGATCGGGATTGCCAACGGATGCTAGTTGAGCGGAGTGCGTTGTGTAACCTAGAGCGCGTAGTTTGGTGATTAGGGGGTTAAAGTGAGAGGGTGTGTGCCAGGCGCCTGGAATAAGTACGAGTTCAGGCTTCTTAGACATGGTGCGGACGGGTGGGAGTATTGCGGCGAGGTTGAGAGGTGGGATAGGTAAGGTATGTCGGTCGAGGAGAGATGCGTGAGTCGTACTCGATGATTCTCGTAGGAGGATTGTTGGTTATCTTGAGATTTATAACGGGTGACTGGTCGAGCGTTGGTCCACTCGTATCTCCCCGTGACTGATCGAACCTTTTCAGGTAGGGTATGCGCAGTTTAAGCTCAACATTGCCTGGATGGTTACTGTGAGGTGGGAAGGAGGCAAGCGGTCAGTAATCACCAAGCATGGTGTTGTGGGAGCCAGTCAGCATAGCGACTACGATGTCGTGCTGGACGCCTAGATACGCCCGGGCTGACATGGTCTTGACGTGTATGTTGGAGGCATAGCGCTTATGTGTCGTCACCGTATTGTTGTCGAGTTCGAATCGAAATCTAGGCGCAGCAGACAACGGTAAGACGTGTTTGTGAAGGTGAGCACAGTCAGAGCCATGGCTTTGTGCTGCCGGGTACTACAGCAATCTTCCCAATCTTCCCGATCTTCCCAATCTTTCCCACAAGGGCTGAGCATATGTTTCCCGGGACGCTGGCCTCATTTTTATCCTCGAAATACATATACCTTCCATCGGATGGCATGTTCTTGCTAGCAGAAGTTGTGTTCACATGTCTTCGTTTCTGATTCCTCCATGAAACTGGTGTTGACCATCGCCATGCGGTACGGCATGAATGGCGTCATGATATCAGAGAAGCTGGTTCTGGTATTGACAGACGAAAGCTGGAAGCATCGAGCTGAATGCTCCATTAAGGACACTGTTGGGTCTCCATGGCTCAATCTTCTCCCTTGGTCCTCACATAGGATGTGCTTCGGTCGTTTATGCTCGGCTGGTTGTAGTATGGATATCGGCACGTGCGTGCACGAGGATCGGTTCGTCACATGGTGTAAATTGGTTGGTTCATCGCGTAGTTCTCGTTCGTTTACGTCCCGTAAAAATACTTCCACTGAGGTCGATATCGGATTGTTGGAGTTTCAAGGTCTTGATCGAAATTGATAGTGTGGAGTGGGGCGGACATGAACTAAAGCGTTAGCGAGGGGGGTGGTATTCACGATGAGCCTACAGCCAATCACGACTCGCAAATGCCAGGGGTCACTGGAAGGGTATCCTTGTCCACCCAATAGGGGAAATAGTCACGGTACGACTAAATGCGATGCATGTGTAGAGTTGTACACGAAAAGCTGAAGCTTGGGTATTGTTGTACGTTTGTCGCCGTCCCCGGGCGATGTTTGCGCCTCCAACGCCGACAGTACCCAGAGTCAGGCCCCTGGATACAAACTGAAAGCACCGACTCGCTGCATGCATACCCCTAGAAGAATCTCCACCAGATGAAGACGATGATTATGAAAGCCAATCCGCCGATGGGTCCGTACTGCGCGTTGTTAGCACTCCACATTCTTGACGTGTCTGTATTGCTGTCCACGACTGACCTGTTTTAGCAACAGCTCCCAATTGATGCGCACAGCAGCCTTCTTGTACTTCCTACTGTCTTCGCGCAACCGACTCGAAATATCGCCCATCCTCTCCAGACTGTCCCCGCGGTACAGCAGATCCTCAATGTTCTTGGTCATGACCTTTGTGACGTCCTTGAGCTCATCGTTCAGCTTGTCTAGATTCTGTGTCGCTCTTGCGTCTTGGTATGTCTTCTTGGAGCGCTGGATAAAGGTGTCGAACTCGACAAAGGCGTAGGGCCGGCATGTTGGCGAGAGGTACTGATGCGGTTGGTACGTAGTGGTGAATTCGCGGTGGAGATCAGAGAGGTATGTGAAGGCGAGTTTGCGCGGGTAGGACCTGTCGCATATGCAGAGGAAGCAGAGGTCGCCCTCGATTATGTAGTGATATGTGTAGTTTCCGCTCTCTATGCTCGCTTGTTGCTCAGCGTTACGGCTTAGACGGCGCTGGACAAGCTTGACCTTGGCCTTGACCTCATTGAACTCGGCGTCGTTCTGGGAATTGTAAGTTTCTTGGAACAGGATACGTGCATTCTTGGAGGCGGCAGTACCTGTTCATCGTCGACCGAGGCTGTGAGTAGTAGGCCTGGACCTCTGTCAGCGCTTCTGGACCCTAGAATACTGCAGAGTTACTGACCATCAAGCCGGGATATCATCGTGTGCTTGATCATGGTGGCGCTTGTGGGGGTAAAACGATGCCCGGTAGTGGTAGAGTATCGCAGGTTTGGGACAGTATTATCAACTTAGGCCTGCAGTTGTGGGATTGCGCAGGAAAGGCTACGTGTTGGTGTTGATGATACCAGATCGCAGAAGATGACGATGCGGAAAGGGTCGCGGAAGAGCGCACGGACTCACCAACACCATTCACACAGCGACCAAGCATGCCGTGACCTCCATGGCTCTGACATCCATGACTCTGAATGACTCTCCAATCCGGGTCACGGATCCAAAGAGATAGCACAAGTTGATGTTGGCATCGTCAATACAGAACGTTTGGTACAACCTCAACTCAACGCCCCAGCCACCATGCCGAATCGCGCCACTGCGCTCGCGTACTCTTCTCGCACCTTCACCCCAATCATTGAGTGGCGGGCACACTTTCAGCCCTGATGCAAGCAGATCGCTGTCCTTGAACTTGCGCCTGCCATTCACGATAATCTAATCGTACGCGCTAGCGACGCTTTCTGGGACGGTACCTGCTCAAGTCCAACACCAAGCCTCTCTATCTGAACCGAACCACAATCATGTCGTTACCGGTGAGGTACGTACCATTTCTTCACAATGTCCTGAACCGTCTCTTCCAATTCCTAATACAACCTTCACTTTCACTACCCCCACAATCCAAGACCCAGCAAGATTTGGCAGCCTGAATTTCGTCTCTCCCAAACCTAATTAACAAGAACAGACCGTCGTCCGTCACTCAACTCGACTCTTCACACGACTCGCAATCAACAACTACTTCACCCATAAAAAACACGTCCGATTCAGGGCAAGAGCGAACTACTATACCACCAGATCTCGAAATACCAAACAAAAGAGCAAAGATGTCTCATTCCAGACCAAACTCATCATCTCTCTCTTCAGCTCCCTCATATCCTTTTGAGCAGACCTTACCTGTTGCCCCAAATCTGCCAAGCCAGACCGAAGACACTGCCATTCCGAGCATAGAGAACAGCTCGTCCAACATAGCAACCAATGACTTTCTACCTCAGACTCAGCAGGCGCTGGCATCCATGTCTGCGCCTGAATCAATGACTGCGCCAACATCAAACATGGGCGCTAAACGCGCACCCAAGCAGAGCCCAAAACGAGCACGCGAAGAGGAGGATGATGAAGAAGAAAAAGAAGAGGAAGCCTTCGGCACACCACCACCCAAGAGACCAGCCAGGAAGGCAAAGAGACCAGCAAGCAGCAAGACCGCTATAAAGAAAGCTGCCGGTCCCAAAACGTCCGCTCTCAAGAAACCGGCAAAGCTGAAGAATACCCCCGCGCAGAAGCCTACAGCCGCACCACCAGTACCACCCAGCTCGCGCCCATCACGAACCCGCAAAGCACCAGAGCGCTTCGAGGATCTTGAGGAGAAGACTACTTCCAAAGCTCTTCCTACCAAAAAGGGGGCCAGTAAGGTTTTTGATCCTGTCTATATAACCACCAATTCCTCCAGTCGCCTCGTCAAAGCCGATGTTTACGTAAGTCTGCCCTCAATCTGCCATCTTCTCACACAATATATCTCTGACACATCCCAGCACATGCTTCTTGAAAGCCCAGCCTGGAACTCTCTTAACGCATCCCAACAATCCACTCTCATCTCCATGCTCCCCGAATCTTCCGACAACGTCAACCTCCTCGCCAAAATCGCAGCTGGAGAAACGGCAGATACGCGACCAGCAGCGTTTACACTAGCAAACAACTGCTTCCGGACAGACGTCGCCAAGTTCCAGGAGGATCTCAAGAATGGTCATTTGGCGAAGACGTGGCAAGCTGCTGCTGAGCAGGCGGTTGTGGAGAGGGCGGCGGGGGAGTACGATGGGTGGAAGGCGGAGGAGGCGGAGGCTTGGTGGGGGCAGAAGGGAATGTGAGATTATTCATGTCAAGTCGGTGGGCAAAGTCGAGCCTCGGCTACTATGAAAAGCCGAGTGTCTTCTCAAGTACATGTCGTCTGTACGAGGAAACTATGGAAGACGATAGGTGTCGCGTCGCTGAAGGCTCGGGTTTGATTAAAGCTAGCGCACGCTAGACTGATTCAAACCTTATGCAGCAATCATCCGAGATGGTCATCCAGACGTCGTAGGAATTGGTGTACATGACGCCTCTCTTCCTACACTACCAGACCAATTCATTGATGTCGTCTATTAGATGCTTGTGAATTATGTCATCCAATCGGCCCTCGTAACGAGCTATCTTGTCGGAATTCTAGTTGTTACTCTACAAGAGGACTGCGAGAAGTAATGCCTGAGATGGTGAGCAGTAGAAAGCAACGATTTTGGTGCTAGCCCCCAACCGCCAATCTTCTCTGCGAAACCTCCTCAGGTTCGTCTTCTCGCACGACTACGACCAACTATTGCGCCACCATGCGGGCGAAGCCCTTTTAGAGGCATCAGAAACCAACAGCAAACATACAAATCTATCGAAAAAAATCAAGCTCACCTTCACCTTCACCTTCACGACAAGCTTTTGTGCGCCCTCGCAATCACCTCGACAACTAGGACTAGTACGGTCTTGGCAGTCACTCACTTATAGAGCCATATCCTCACGACAAGCTCAAGCTCTTACTCTCTGTCCTTCTTAATTTCACGAACTTCTCTTCAAATCGCCGCTGTCACAAGCTGCAGTTTCTCCACCTATTCTACCACATCCTCCACACCACAACCACTCATCATGAATACATACTCACGGTACAAGGTAAATCATGGCTGCTTGAAATACATGTAGGACTCACGCTGACTTTGTATGCCCATAGGTTCCCCAGTACTCGGAGTCTGATCACGTATCGGCCATCTACAGGCACCCGAGCAACCCGCGGAGTGCGACTCTGCCATCAAGCCGACATCTCCAGCCTACAAATTCGAAACTCGCAGCGATCTACTCCTTGTCTCCTACCCCAAACTTCGCTTTCGAGGATGCCGATATGCGTTTGAGACGTTCGAAGAGTACGAGCAATCAGTCGACCTCGGTACCCTTCTTGAGCAGCGAGCTTCTATGAGCAAACATAAACACACTGGCCGAGTCGCTGCGGTACCAGTCCCGGGGACTTACAACAAGACACCCAAACTCTGGATGTCGTATCGTCTCCAGCTTTCTGTCGACAAGAATCGAAGGTCGCCTGCATTGATAGTTGAGATTCAATCATTATAAACTTCCATCCAAATGGAGTCGATCAGAAAACTACGTGGAAAGGGAAGATTACTGAAGCCGTCGATGCAACTTCGATTGAACAGCTCAATTTAACCGTTAACCGTCCCGATGACAAGGACACACTCCTGCCGTTGGACAGTGAAGAGCACTCGGTCTTGACAGTCAAAGACCTCACGACCATGGAGCACTCGTCGGTCCTCCGTAATTGGTCACGCAACATCCCGAAGAAAACGGTCGTCATCTACACCAACAATGACGAGAAGGAGTGTAAGGGGCTGATGAATAACTTCTCGAAGCTCAAGGTCCCCCACAAACTTCGAGACACATACCCCGCCAAGGCAGCAGCGCTCAAGGCAGGGACTGAGCTGTTGTTGATGAAGAACTTTACACAACTCAAGCGCTCCGAGTTGTTCAAGAACACCGACGCAGGCCAGTGGACTCAAGCTCGACAGATCCTTGTGATATACCTCCGCGACTATCAGTTGGACGCATTTCTTGAAATGGAAGACAACGGTCTCTACGAGAATACTGCATGTGTGGATGGGCCCTCAGGATCAGGCAAGTCTTACTTGGCTTTCACTGTTGCGGTGGCATACAAGGAATACAGGATCGAGAAAGCCGCAATGCGAGCTGCGAAGGATGCAGGTATTGAAGTCGAACCTGAGACGAAGCGTACGTCCTTCAAAGACGACCTCGTGCCTCCAAAGCCAGAGGAAGACAGCCCAGAGACCTATACCAAACAGCCAGGCCGCATCACATTCTGCGGTATCCAGAACGATACGGTCGACGAGGTGTACCGTGTCCTTCGTACTATCACCCCCGAGTTTATGAAGGAGATGAAGATGCCTCCCAAACTCGTCCTCCGCATCCACTCCTCGAATTCAGAGATCGATGCCGTTGTCGCTATGTCACGCCCATTCTTCGATCCGGATGAGAAGGAAATGCCTTATCACTACAATCCAAACATCAAGGTGACAGACGGCTTACCTCGTAGTCTTTTGGACGCCTATCTCATCCACTACCGCGGCATTAGCGATAATTCACTCTGCAACCGTCGCATGAAGGAAGTTGACGGGTCTGCTGCGAACTATATCCTAGAGCTCGCCAACCACCCTGGTTTTCCTCGCTCGCCAGAAGTGCTCGCAACATTCACAAGCGAAGAACTTGCAGACCTCGAGGACAAGTTGACCCCGATCCTCAGTGCTCATGAACAACTCTTGGCGAACGGAAATGTGATGGACAATGACACCAAGCGTGCTGTCAAGTCTGCAGCAAAGACCGGATACTATCCTCTGCTGGAGAAGGCAGCAGCAAATGTGGCGAATATCATGCTGAGCGTTCTGCTCTTCTCTCCCAGCCGTAGTGTGCACTACGTCGTCAGTTGCCACAGAGATGTCATTCAACGTTGTCCGTCAGTCGCATGCACTGTTTTTGGAAGAGTCCGGCCGAGCAAACGACGCCGAGATTGCGGGATACTTCTCCCACCACTGGCAGGCTCAGCTTCGCATGTTCATCGGATCGACCAACCAGCTCCCTCCTAAAAAAGAATGGGAAGATTACATGATGGAGATTCAAAACTCCAGTGTTCGGTAACAGGCTCGACAATCTCTTCCAGAAACAGCTTCTTCTGTCGCCTCTCCACCGTCTGCAAGCCACTGGCTTCAACATGTACGAGCTCAAGCAGACATCGCGCTTCGAGAACAAGCCTCTGTTGGACCTATGCGCTCTGGTAAATGAGCTACCCAATCTGCAGGCAGTAGACGGTTCTTTCGACAGCGATCTCTCCACGTCCTACGCCGACATCAACAAGAAGATCTGGCATATCGACAGCAACCTGATCTTTTTCAATGTCGTAGACGCCACTACAGTGCCGAAGCCTGGGATTTGGACGTATACAAACCATCGCACAAAGTTCTTGACGTCTCCAACCGCATCTGGGACTTGACATTGCGCAAGTTGTATCCGCAGACCACAGAACATAATTATTTCAAGAGTCTGTATGGTAGGCTCAGGTCTGGAGACAAGCTCTTCCTGATATGCTTCCGACACAACGAGCTTCCATGCACGAGCAATGGTCTCACCCATCGTACGCAGATGCCCGAGTTGTGCGACGACTTGCGCATCGTTATGCAGAACTCACCATACATCTCCATGCTCATTCGTAGCTCCGGCGTAGACTCAGAAGTCGAATCTGTTGTTGGTGCATGGAAAGAGCTCACAGAGTATGATCCCACGTCGGTCGTCTACAAGGACCTGAACAACCCGCAGATGTGCGACTCCGGTATCAAGCCGACATGTGAATTTCCCAAGTTTACTGCTCCCGCCCGATATGTGGTCGAGACTGGACGCCACTACAGTTAAAGGCGTGACTGACTCGTCATACTCACTAGAGACTGCGTGCGCAGTGATGAAGGATGCTGTCGATCGCATGGCCCACATTGAAGGCAAGCATCCAGCGTTTCCAACGGGACGTAATACTGTACGGTTGAAGCTATCGTGAGGTACGTACGGATCGATTTCTGGTGTTGTACGTACTGTAGGTCCAAAAAAAGCTCTAAGTACGGGCCGTAACCGTAGTACGTTC